GAAGGTATCCTGGCTCCCCATGCTCTATTATCAGAGGGCTGGTGGGGCTGTGGGTCAGTAACCAGACATACTGCTCTGGAATCCTCCTAAGCCTTGGCTGCCTTTGTGGCCCAGCCCTCCTGGGGCCCTGTGGGCCCTTAGGTCCCTGACAGGCTTGCCATTCCCACAGGTCATCCACAGCACTGTGGTGGACACATCTGTGCTCTTCCCTCACCGCCTGGGCCTCCCCTACAAGCGCTCCCTTCGGAATCTCATGGCTGACTACCTCAGACAGATCATCCAGGACAATGGTGAGTGGTAGGGCTGGTGGGGGCAGGAGGGGGGCTTAGTAGGGGCAGGGTGGGGCCTCAGGGCTGGCTCATTCTGACCCTCCACCCGCTCCACAGTGGATGGGCACAGCTCCAGCGAGGATGCCAGCGCCTGCATGCACCTGGTGATCTGGAAGATTCGAGAAGATGCCAAGACCAAGCGGTGACCGCCGCCCGCCCCCCTGCCCTCCTGCGTCCTGCCTCCCACTGCCCTGGCACATCCTCTAGCCCCAGGCCTCTTCCAAAACAGTGCAATAAATCTCGAGAGCTAACCCTGTCCACATCACCAAGATACAGAAACAGAGAGCACAGGAGGAGCTGCGTGGCACCCAAGGCCCAGCTTGAGACCTACCTGGAGCCCCAGCCTATGTGGCCCCTTGTGCCCTCCCTGCCTCTGCCCCAGATTACTGTTTTTTGGAGACTGCTGCTGCTGACAGTGGAGGCTGGGACCACCTGCCTGGGCCCTGCTTGTGTCCCCAGCAGTGACCCTTATAGGCTGACCACCTGTTCCTTCCCCCCTCACCTGCCAGAGTGTCCAGTGGGCCAGGCAGGCTTGTCATGGGTTTGTTTGGACAGGGGTTGTCTTTTTTTATTGTTATTTTTATTATTTTTAATTTAAACCTGATGACTTGCATAGTTGTCTTTCCCCACCTGGAGGAGCAAGACCCTGGTGCTGCCTTCCCTCCTGGGGATGGGGGATGGGGACAGGAGCAATCAGCTGGTGCCACTATAGCCACCAGGATCCCAGACTCCAGCCTTGCCTGGGCCTGGTTGGGTGGGAACTGGCCTCCCCCAGCCCACCGGGACTCCTTGACCTCTAGGAACTGAACCAGCCCCCAGGGCCCTGGCATCTGGGCACTTCCCATCCGAGCCCTGCTCTTACCTGGGAGCTGTTTGTCAAGGCCCAAAGTGCCCATCCCCCCCATTCCCGCCCAATGCCCCAACCCCCAGGCAGGGACAGAATAAATGTTTGTATGGATTTTAGATGTCGTGGGATGCAGTGGTGTTCTTGGTGCCAGGTGTGATTCCACACACACTGTGGAGGTCATTGTCCCTGTAGCCAGGACTGCCCCAATGGGGGAGCAGGAAAACCAGCTCCAGTTCCCAGGCTATCCCTAGGGTCTACCCCCTGCCCTGGGGATGAAGTGTTCTGGAACAGACCAAGAGCCTTGGGCAGTCTTAATGATTGGGGCCTGACACAATTCCAGTGCCTTGGTGGGAGCTAGCAGCCAAGTCCTATGAGGGGTTGAATGTCTGAGAAGCTACCATGGAAAGGGCAGGGCAGCCACAGCCCACTGCACCATTTGCTGATCCCCAGAAATGTATGTGCCCAGCATCCTGAATTCACCCCATTTGTGTCTTGTGGCTCTTGGTGGGTAGGAGGACCAGGACTGTTCAGGATTCGGCTTTTAATTTATTCAAAGTGAAAAATGAAGGCAGAAAAAGACTTGTGGGATAGGAGATGCTGGGAGTGTCCAGGTCCTGATGGAGCAGAAAGGTGCTGGGAAGAAGGCTGTCAGGAGGAGGTTCCTGCCACCCTGTCACTCTGGCTTTTGCTAAAGGCCAAGAGGTCAGCATCCTGGGCTGGGACATAGCAGCCCCTCTCCTAGGGGCTTCCTGGGCCAGGGCTGCATCGGGGTTCCTCTCCAGGTCCTGGTGCCCTAGAGGGGGACAGGGCTTGGTCCAGTTAGGCCCCTACCACTGTCACATCCTTCTGGGGCTGTTTTTGTAACCAGCTGACTTAACCCTCCTCTTCTGTAAAGTTTTCTAATTAAGTGGTGCCAGTGGCATTACAGAAGCCAGTTTCTGTGTGGTGTCTGTACCCCTCCTCAGCAAGAATGAGGGGAAGCTGGGAGAGGAGCTCCCCAGCTCAGGAGGTATGCAAGCTTTCAGCTTGCCAACCCTGTTGGTTCTTGGAGGCTGAAACCTATTTCTCTCTGCTTGGGAAGCTCCTCTCGCTGCTTGTTACTATCCCAGGGAGGAAATCAGGTCCCCTGACTCTCCTCACAGCTGAATCCAGCAAGGCCTCTCCTAAAGCCCCTTACCCAGGGTCTTTCTCATTAACCACTGGGTAGGGGTAGATAAACATTTGTTGAGTGAACGAACAAATGAGTGAAAGGAGAGATTAACTTGGTATCCCCAGAGGCCAAGAGGAAGTGCAGACAGGGTTTCCAAAGAAATGTGATTGAGAGGTTGTTGCTCTAATGGGGATCCTCATTCATTCATTCATTCACTCACCCAACATCTGCTCATAGGTGCAGCTGGTGCCTCGGGGGGGCCCCAGCCCCAGGTGGGGAAAAGACACTAGGGCACAGAATCAGACACAGGCACCCCTATCCGTTGGGTCAGGACTGGGCCAAAGCAGAGGACCCCAGGAATGAGTAAAGTGCCCAGAGCCCACTGCCTTCCTAATTTCTGTGCTTCAGGGGGCTCCTAAAAGTGAAAATGTGAAATATGGAGCTTAATTATCTCCCTTGTGCCCCCAAATTTGTCCCTCCCCCTGAGCTCTAACTCTCAAGGGAACTCTAACTTTAGTAGCCCCTTCCACACACCCTCCCATGCTGGCTCCAGTTCCCTATCTCTGACTCCGGCTCCCCCAGCCTAACCACCATCTCCCACCCCCATCACCTCCTTATGAAAGGCCTCCCCAGAACCCTGGCCACCCGCTGAGTGGTGACACACCAGGACCGAGCCCTAGAGGTTTCCTCTTGGGGTTGGGATTGTCTTAGTGGCTCTAATGGCTCCCCCCAGGCCGGCACCCAACATTGAGCCTGCGCATAGGAGGTGACAACCTGCAGTTACCTACCTGTGTGTCCTTCTTTTGCTTCTAGTCCCATGTGGGTCCCATGTGGATCCCGCAAAATCTGCGCAGGCTCCAATCCACCTTACTCAAGGCCCAGCTTCACAAGGTCCCGCCCCTAAATAACAGTCCCCTTAATACTCTGGTGCTATTAAGACCCCTAGACCCCATGCCCTAGCCTGGTAGCTCAGTTAGAGCGTTGTCCAGATATGTCAAGATTGAGAGTTTGATCCCTGGTCAGGGCACATACAAGAAACAACCAATGAATGCAGAAATAAGTGGAACAATAAATCACTATTTCTCTCTCCCTTCCTCTCTCTCTAAAAAAAATCAATCAAAAAAAATTTTTAAAAGAGCCCCCCACCAATCATCCTGCCCCTCTGTGCAAGACCTCGCCCACTGACCCACCGCAGCCCCTCACCCATTGCAGCGCCCCAACCCTGGATCTTGACTCGCCCCTAGGCTGGCACCACTCCAAAGACCCTCCCAGGCTCTGCCTCTTCCCTGGCCCCGCCCACAGGACCCGACCAGCCTCCCCTCTACCCTGGCCCTCTTTGTAAGGCCCCGCCCCGATTTGTCTTGGCTCCACCTTCCGGATGGGGTGCGGACTCTGTGTCTGTGTCTGCGGATCACCCAGCTCAGGGAGGCCCCAGGAGGGGGATGTTGGGCCTTAAATCCTGCGCCTTGAGGCGTGGGG